GTAATGTAGTTAGCAATGCCTGCTGCAAAAGCAGCCCTTGCCTAAAGCTTCTGCACAAGGGTTTGGGAGATGTTATTGTCTGTCTTTTTAACCAGAATGCCTCTAATGTCTGTGCAACATGTTATTAAACAATATTTTTTGTAAATCACCTTGCTGAGGATCATTACAAAAAGCTTTTTGCTTGATGAACAAACAAGACATGAAATGAAACACCTCTATGTCTAAGCAACCTTAAGGTGATGATTAAAACAAAATTACAGAAAATGTATCTGCAGTGAAGTTCCAGGATCAATCAGCTCTCTCTCTAATCTAATAGCTATCTTTAAGACCTTCACAGATGGAGGTTTCACTGACTTAATCAATCTGTCTACATACATGGTATATTTTTAAGTCAATTTTTAAAAATTATCAACTTGAATTCTGCGCTGCAGTTTTGGTTCACTGATTTTTGGCCAGTCTGCAGCAGATCTGAAGAAGAGATTATTCCTTTCCTTTTTTAAGTCAGTCTTTTTGTCTCCTCAAGGCTGTGTTCATATTTTCTGGCAGTCTGCTTTTTGCTAGATTAAGCAACTGAATTCATTCAGTCTTTTTGCCAGGCTGTATCCTCTAGACCGCTGTCAACTCATTGCTCTGCGTCTCTCTTGAAGCACGGCGCCCAGGAGTGGGCACAGAACAGCATCTGGGTACGGTGGCAGGATGAGAGCAGAGGCGCACGAGACTGGTGTCGATCCCATGACGGTGGTTGTTGCTCTCGTGGTAGGGTGACAGTATCAAATCGTGCTCCACTTGTGGGGCACTTCACGTGCTTCTCGTGGGGGGGGTGTTTTGAAGGGTCGCCCAACCCAATGTGATTGCACCCACTGCACTTTCCTTTGTTGAATAGCATCCTGTTTTGTGTTGGTTTTTTTTTTTCCAGTGCTTGTTTCCAATTCATCAAGATCATTTTCAATTCTAATCCCAGCCTCCGTGAAGGCCTTTATCACGGTGCACATCCCATTAACAACCACAGAAGTTTTCATTCTGCAAGCTAACACAGACTGAGAGAGGCTGCAGTGATTTAAGTTGCCTATTATTCTAGCTCCTTAATCCCCAAGAACGAGACCTTTCTCTCTTCTCTCTGAATGGCAGCTACCGCAAATAGACTAATAGGACCTTTTCCTTTATTCCTTTGTCTATGGCCTTTCAAACTTACCTCTTCTGTATTCAGCTTTTGCACCTTTTAGGTTATCTTTGTAGTCTGGTTTAATTGTATATTGCCGTAGAGGCTCAGCCTAAAATTGCTTAACTGTTAAGCACTGCTTTTTAACTTGGCAGGAGGGGATTTAAACTGACCATACGTGAAGTGCCCCTATGGTGGGGAAACACCCCTCTAACACAGTCTCTGTTGCTCCATAGCTATTTCTTCTGTGGGAATCATAAGAAGGTTTGAGTGTCAGATCCTTTTTCTGTTCATAACCATATCAGTATAACATAGGAATACAGAATTTCTTTCAAGAAAATGCTCTTCTGATTTTATACTAGAGAAAACGGGAACAAGTCTTGCCCCTCAGTTTTCTTCATGTGTGAAAGATCTTTCCTGAAATGGAAAAGACAAACCAAACCCTGAGGAAAACCGATTGATTTCAAGGACAAAAGTGATGTGAAATCTTACCTTCTTAAATTTTAATTACCTTCCAAAAAGATAATTCCCTCCAATTCCTGTACAAAGCCAAGCATCCCCATAAAAATAGTTCCACCGTGTCTCTGCCACACATTTTGAAGGGAATTTGATTCCAAGAAATTTGAGAGATTTGCAGACACCTAAAAAAGGTGGAGACTTTTCTGTCTAAAAGCTAAGCATCCAGCCCACATGAGTTGTCTTATCTAGGTCACACTATAATCAGTGGAGACAGGCCATCCCAAGGTAGGTGAGATGAATAGTGACTCTTCTCTGAGATACTGCTATTATCTAGGCTACACCAGGACAATTTAGAGCAGTTGTCTCTCTTTAGAGCTTTGAAGTTAGGTGAGATTACCCAAACGGTAGACCACTCTGGCAAAAAAGATCTTGCTGGGAAAAGTGAAACTATCTGAACACAGCCTTCGTTGTGTGCTTAAGCTAAGATCCGGGTTCAGGCATGCCTGTATAACAGGATAAAGTGGCTACCTACCTGGAGCAAAGCTGGGGCTGGTTCCCACAAGTGGGTCCCCAGTAGAGAAGGAACCGTGATTGGTTGCCAGGAGGGTGCTGAGAGTTGAGGAGGCACTAAAGCTTATGGCAGAGCAAGAAGGTCCTTGCCCTTGCTCCTTTCCTGCCATTTCACCTTCCCTCCCTGTGCTCACAGATGAGCCATTTTCCCTTTGTGGCTAGCAGGAGCCCTGGTTTCTTCTCACCCATGACCAAGTCATGGGTTAGTGGTTGCCAAATGATTTAATGAGTACTTTCCTCTCCTTCTGCTCCATCATCAATCAGCCCAGACAGGTAGGCACAGGTCTCACTGACAGCCTCCTTCCCTCCACCTGCTCAGGACAGTGCCTCGGGGTCACTTCTGCAGGGCCAGTAGCTGGGATCCCTCTTCAAGTGCAGCCCTTATATGTCTCCTCCATTCTCCACTAACTCCCACATTATGGGTTTGGTGTCAGGAACTGGAAGATCCCAAACAACTGTGCTGACGTAACCCAAAACTCATCCCAGTTGCTTGGATGTAAATCCAGGTGACCAATGCATCTGAAGCATTGGAAAGCCACACGAAGTCGGAGCTGGGGGGGTTAAGGCTCTTTGGTATTTCACTCATATGGACTGCCTCCTCCTGAAACCCCAAAGGCAGGAGTCTGCTCGGGAGCAGCAGGTTCTGGGAAAAGGGGTCCCTTATGGAGGCTGGGTTTACCTTTATAACTCCCAGTTCTGCTGAGCCATATATGTATTTTTTCTCTCTTCGACTCTGGTAATAATGTGTATATTATTGCTGCTGGATACATTAGGTTTTTTTTTTCTCCTGAGCTCCTGTGCTCTGTGCCCTTCAAACGTAATTTTTACTGGGAAAAATCCCCTCTCTTCTACTTGTCTTTGCAGAAGAGCAGCGGCAGAACCATCTTCCTCAATGCCACTAAGTACAGCTTTACACAGGACAGGTTTTTACAAGTGAGAATTTTGCAGAAATACAGAATATTTTCTCCAAGCTGACCCCACGCTCACCAGAGTTGGTGCGTCTCCGGCTCAGAGCTGGCTGGCTGCTATGGAGAAGACACAAACTTCCCACTCTCATGTGGCAGGGGCAAACCTACAGAGGTGACCACTGAAAAACATCTATCCTATATCTAGAGAGGGCCAAATGAGTTTTGGTGGGCCAAAAGGAGGGAGAAGATTGGACGCGCGTTCACAAACAAGCAAATGCAGACACATAGCGCCCTTGTTCTTGCAGCCAGAGGATCCTGATGCTTTGAGAGTGCAAATAACTTCTTTTTCTTACTTTCTTTTCTTTGTAGACGCTACCACTAGGGGCCGTTTTGCCATCACGTATCACTCGTGACACAATTTTACTTTTCCTTACAGTGGCACACGCTTTCTTTTCAGTCTTGGTGCACATCTAGTTCATGGAATGAACTCCTGAATTTCGTAGGGCTCGTGGATGACCCAGACTCACTGGAGCTGGGAAGGAGAGAAGTATTTATTTCCCCCATTTCTCCAAAGGAGCCCATCTATCAACATTCCTTACAAAGCGAGGCAGCTGGTTATTTCACAGCTTGCTGGAGCAATGTGAGAAAACTGAGGGCTGCCTCTCATTTTTGCATTAAGCGCCAAACACAGACACTGCTGGTGGTTTTGTGAAGATAGAAATAATGCACAGCCACCGCAAATCAAGCTGGAACGAGCGTCGCCAGCAGTGATGCACGTGAAGTATTTTCTGAAAGAACAAGAATATCTTTTAGACTAAATAATTAGAAATCAATTGGCAAAACTCACATTTCACTCCTTTTTTCCTTCTCATTCGTTCAAGGATAACTGACTTAACCCTACTGATACGCATTTTTTTCCTTCTCTCCAACGCAGACAGAGCAGCTGGTGACTCTTTGGATTCTCTTTATTGTGACAATTGCTGGAAATGCCATCGTGCTCTTCTCTACCTGGAGGAGAAAGCGGAAATCTCGAATGACCTTCTTCGTTACACAATTGGCCATCACAGGTAATGGATGGGAGGGGAAAGGGCATCTGAACTGCACAGGAATCAGTACTAAAATGACAAAGAAGAAAATGCAAGCTCGGTGGTGAAGAATTCAGTTGCCACCTTCTGTCCAGCTGCAGCTTGCCATAAGACAGATGGATGGCTGCTTGTCTTTGGGCTCAGTCTGCCTCTGATCTAAAAAGACGTTGCTAGGTGTAGCAGTGTCTGAGTCAAATGCAGCAGCTGCAACTCACTCATTTCACTGAATCTCATATTCCAGTCTGAATTTCAGTCCACATTTCCCAGAAGTTATGTCCCCTGTCATGTCCATGACAGCTGTTGTCATGGAACTGTTTAAATTAAACTAGTTTAAGATGAACCTCTTCTGTTTTTCTACTAAAATCCTTTCTAAAGTACTTCATAACGGTTTGGCTCCATCAATTACGCACTTACATTGACGGGTGAAAATAACTTCATGTTGTCTGGTTTAACCAAATAAGGGAGATATAAAAATGTAAATGTAGAGAGAAATGAATTTGGTTGATTTTTTTGAATGGAAAAAAAAGATGCTGCTCCAAGAGCTTTGTAGTTTTTAAACAAAATGGAAAATGTACAGAAACCTAGTTAATAAAAATGTCAGTATCTCAGCAACTAGGAATGGAAACGAACATAAGCAGCACATTGTTTCCCTGTGGCCTTGAATGGACTGAATTTGTGGGGTTTTAAGTTTCTCAGGGGAAAATATGTGCTGTTTCTATAACAATGTCCTGCTACTAATCCCTGCTTACAAGACAGCTGTGTTGTATTGTTGGTGTTTATAGGATGTATTTATATGCTTTCTGTTGCTTTTTTTTTTTTTTTGTGAGATATCGTAGGAATTACCAGCACTTTTCCACTAAAGAGCTATTTGTGATTTCCCAGCAATATTGCATCCTCCTTTGATGTCTATTTTGTCTCTGCTTAAATCAGAAAAGCAAAGGGCTACACTCCTCAATTTTCAACACACGTTCTTTGCAAGTAAATGAACTCCTGCTCATGGTCTCAGCCATGTCTGCCCAGGAGCTTGTCTTGTTTGAAGAACTACTCTCAGTTGAAACAGTTAGACCAAGGTGTGCAAGGTGATGCAAAGGGACTGGCCTGTAACTACAGGTGATGTAAGAATTCTTGCAAGGTGAGAAGGTGAAGGTTTGCAGTGACTCCTCTTCCGAAGTGCTGACAGCTGGTTTTCCTATTTGCCTGTGAGTCAGCTGTAATTAATGGTTTCACTTCTTATCTCAGTTGTGACTTTCATGCCTCTTCCCTTGTGTGCCAGTGGTATTTTCCATCAGGTAAGACGTGTCGACACAGCTTCACAGCACAGTTTGGATGCCTCAATCACAGATCAAGCATTACAGTGTTCACAGGAGTTTCAAAAGAGCCAGTCTCTGCTCAAAGAGCTCCCAATCCCAAATGAATATACAGAAGATGGTAAAAGGTAGGCAACCAAGCAGTAGTATGGGCAAAGACCAGATGAGCAACTAAAGCCCCAGGTGGACACTGTCCATTTTCTATCTAAAGTCGCCAGTGAGCAGCATACTGGGGGAAACCATCTTAAAAAGGGCTTTGGAAGAGGGGAGGGTCAAAAATGACCCTGTGTGTCCATCTGGCACAGAGGGTACAAGGGCTGGGCTTGCTGCCAGAGCAAAGGCATAGGTAATGCATACACCAGCATGGTGATAAAAGATGGGTCCTAAGAGGAAGAGCTCAACTAAACAGCGAAGGGTCTTGGCCTAGGAAGAAAAAAAAGTATGGACTGCAGCAGAGAAAGAACCAGCATAAGGACATGGGTGTTCGGATCGAAAGGAACAAAGCAAGAAGCAGATAGAAGTGTCTGGACCAGGAGAGCTGAGGAGAAGACTGTTCCACACAAGGTCTACAAGGAAGAGGCTACTGCAGTTGCTGCTCTGGGTAAGGGCCTGGGTGGGAGTTTTGCCATTTTGGACCCATAGGAAAGGCTGACTTTTTGGATTAGAATGGTGGTGGATAGAGAGCTATTCACTAGGGGTTAAAATACCATCTACATGAAGGGGGGAAGGCGTTGCAAGTACAGTTTTGAGGGAGCTGGAATAACCAGTGGCAAAGACAACAAGGCAGATATCCCATTAGACATGGGCTGCAGATAGTGCTACGCAGCTGACATTACAATATTGACTGAGGTCCACGTGTTCCACTTACTGATTATTCTGACCTCCCCTTCCCTAAAATTATCCCTGACTTTTAAAATCAGAGCTTCAAAGTGCCTAAGTTCAGCAGTCTGTTCCATTTCATACTACAGAAATTCACACAGAAAACTCACTTGGCATTCACGTCTGCAATGTTAAAAGAAATAGCACCAGCTTGAACAGCAAGGCTCCTTTCAAGCAATGTTGACTTCTTTTTTGTGATGCAGGAGTCAGAACTTTAATTTATATTCCCGCACCAAGAGCTCCTGTCAGTGTTTTGGCACAAAGAAATTACTTAATTTCTGAAATGGAGCCATTTCGCTTTCTTATCTTCAAAAATATTAATAAGAACAAAGCAAGCTGGCAACAGTCATCATCCTTTCACAACAAGCTATGAGGTAGACACAGAACATTATGAAAACACTGGCTTGTCACATTGCTTTGACATGCCAGGCATATTTAAATCCTACCAACTAAAGCCTAATCTCCTGGCAAACAGTTTCTGCTTAGTCAATATTACTACTTCCATCTATTTTAGGATTCTTAAAATATTTATTATTTCTACATCAGTAGGAGAAAGAAGAATAATGGCTATAGCTTTATCAATGCAGGCATTTCAAAACCATTTAAAAACTTTCATCTCTTGATCTGTGGCTCAATAATTGAGTAGTGTCCTCAATTCTCACTAGTGTAGTACCAAAGCAAAAATGAAAATATAGCCTTCTTGTTAAAGTAAACAAGGTATTCAAAGCAAATTGTGCATAATACATGAGTAGGAAATGAGCTGTTGTTCTCCTTGACTGGTTGCCAAGCCAGATGCAGAAGAGAAGTAACTGATTGAGGCTTCTTTCAAAACCACCAGAATTCAGTGGTTCAACCCATTCGGCAAACGCAGAGATAAGACTCATACTGATCCCTTGCTACACCATAATTCAACGTGGTGCTCAAGGCTGCAGGGATCTGTAGGAACGTGAGTAATCCCTTCAGCTTCGGTATGCTTAAAGGTGGCGCTGAAGTCTGGATTCAGAATATTTTGTGTTAAATAGATGCCTATATCAGCTGCTTTTAGGTCTATGTTTAACCCTCAGCTCATGCATAAATCTCTTTGAAATGATCTGGGAATTCAGCTCTAGGAAATCAGCTAAGAGTTAACAGCTGAATTGAACAATAGTACTAATCACTCAGCATCAGCTAATTTAACAAAGAGGAATATTGCCATGTTTGCCTTGTGTTCAGTTTGCTTTGGGGCCGATTCCTTTTTTTTTTTTTTTTTTTTTTGTAAAAATGTTTTCCTTAGAAAGAAACTCATCTATAAAGCCTGAAACAAAAGCTAGGTTTCCTACAGATTTCTATCTCCAAGGCAATTTAGTTTCTCAGAAAGTGTGAGCTCTGAAGATTACCCTGTGAGAAGGGTATTTCTAAACACTTTTCCCCAAATACATTTCTTCTGAGTTTAGCACAAGTTCTGCTCACGGCGTAGCTCTCTCTCCTGGCAGGAAACCTCTCCCACCTCTCCCTACCTGATGCCATTTCACACAACTTCAGAGCCTTAGTGTCTTTAAGGTCTTCGCCTCTAACTGAATTCACCGAGTGGTTCCAGATCAAAGAGTGGGGTCTGACAGACAAGTGAGTTCACAGGCGCTCTATCAGGCTGGCAATTTTCAAGTGAAATGTGGTTGTTTTCAGAAAAGGTGGTTTGTCCACATATTTATATTCATTTAGATCATTTTACCCAGCTCTACCAAATAAAGGCCTTCTTAACGCTGCTCTCAAAATGTAAAAGCAGCAGACTTGAGCATACATAAAACACAATTATTTGAGTAGCATTGGACAAGGAATGTCATTTATGGCTAAACAGGCCATTAAATAGAAACTGTTATTATCTGACCGATTCTAAAACCAGTCGAGCAATACATTAAAAAACTCTGCTGAAGAGTATTTTGCTTCCCATTATTCTTCATCCAACTTCAGCTACTACTGACAGAGGAACATATTTAAGTTCCTTTTAATGACAAAAAGTGCATAGTTTATTGAGGTTTTTTTTCCTCCAACATTAACATCTGGAAAATCAAAGCTGGAAATATCATGATCGTTAGCTCTGTGAGTCTCTCCTTCTATTCCAACATGTAGCAGAAATCAATACCTTAAGAATAGTGTTAGATTTTGTCCGTTGTTAGGGGTAGAAATACATGTAGGCACTTCACCACTTGTCCAATTTTAAGCCATAACTGGCGGACTTGGTTGGAAGTACACTGTCACTTAGGTACTGCTGTGGCTGTAACGAAGAGAGAAAATAAAAAGAACATCAGCTAACTTCTATGGTAGCTTACATATAAACCGAAAAACAAAATACGACTTGTAAAAGTATTTAGTTATTGTGATATAAATACCAAATTCTAAGGGATGACTTGAAAATAACATTAAAAAGACAAGGAAGTATTTTTAAAAGTGGGTCTTTATATCACTGCCGCCTTCTTCAGTTGCTCCCAGAAAGCTGGACCACAGGAGGCAACTGCACTCCTTTTGTTTGGGGTTTAGTAAAAAGCCAATACACCACAAACTTGCTACAAGAGGATTATGTGAATAAATAGGTGGAAACAGACCCTGCTAAAGCAAGGAGTGTTTATTTTCCATGCTGCTTCTGCCCAGAGAGAGCGTGGTTGTGAGACTAAAACCAACTGGGCTCAGCCACTGACTTCGGGGATGGCTTTGGTTAAGGTGACTGAAGGCAACTAATCTGCTGGTTAAATGCACTAAGTAGGTGCATCTAACTCTATTACTACAACAGCTAAACATGAACAAAGACATTAGAAGTTGTCC